CTATCATGGAATCGAGCCTCCACCCTTTAAAAAAATTAATTAGGGGATGGAGAGATGGCTCAGTAGTTAAGAGTGTGTACTGTTCATTCAAAGGATGGGAGTTCAGTGACCAGCACCTATGTCCTATGGCTTTCCACTGCTTTGAACTCCACCTCCAGGGGATCCTATACCCTCATGTGGCCTTGGTGGATACTACACTCACATGCACAAACCCACACTCAGTCACACACAGATACACATAATTTTAAAATAAGTATACATTTTTAAATTAATTAACTTATTTAATTTAGACAGGGCCTCGAGATGTAGACCAAGCTGTCCTTGGAACTCACTGGGTAGTCCAGGCTGGTCTGGAACGCAACTTCTGCCTCTGCCTCCTGAGTGCTGGGATTATAGGTGTCCTCCACTGTATTTCACAAGCCCTGTTTTCAGGACACACTGAAGGAGAGTGCCCCTCAGACCCCCACCCGGATTCCTCTGAGAAAAAGCTGCCCTCCACCTGACTCTCGAAATCCCCTCCATTGTTCAAACCCTTTCCTGGTATCTGTTTATGATTTCTATGGGAATGGTCTGGGGTAGAAGAGAAAGAACGTTCTGCCCCAGGTAAGCTAGCCAATGGCTGTATAGGGTAAGGCTCTGGAAATCAGCCCTAGATTGTTCAAAGCTTTTCCTGGTTATTCTGTGTATGGTTTCTATAGAAATCCCCCACTTTGTGGCTTTTATGCTCAAAGGCCCTGTGTTTTTACTGCTCGAGGTTGCAGTACAGCACCCGAGACTGTGTCCCCAACCAGTTGGCTCCAATAAAGCTCACCTTTTTACTGAGACTCAGTGTCCAAGTGGTCAGTTTAGAGAATTTTACAGACCCCCAAACACACACATCTAAAAATGTTGAAATAAGTATAAGCAGATTTGAAGCAGTAAGGACAGTGATCATGCAGTGAGGATGAGGTGGCTCAGTGACTCAACTGCTCAGTCCACTGAACGTGCTAGTCCATGCTAGGCATCTAGTGCATCCCAAACCTTAGGGAGAATCTGCACAGTAAAGTACCATCACATCAGCCAAATGAGGTGCCTGGGGCCTAGGGAGAGGAAGTAAGTACTCAAGAAGAGGAATGAATGTATGAAGGCACCAGAAGGGAGAGGGGAGGAAGAAAAGAAACTTAAAACAGCAGGGGGCAGGGTAATGTTTGAGCTGGGCTGAAGGTTGGGAGTGCATTAACCAAGGTGAGGGGCATTTCATTGAAAGTTTACACTCTAAACAGTAGGATTAGAATTAGCTAGATGGGTGTGGCATGATTGAGGAACAGACTGGAAGCTGGTGTTGCTGGAACAGAGAGAGCAATGGGAAAGTGGGTTGGAGACAGGTGTGGTTTATTACTCACCTATAATTATATATAACTATTATAATCCCAATTACTGGCTAAGGCAGGAAGATCATGAGTTTGAGGCCAGGCTGGGCTACACAGTGAAACCCTGTCTTTAAAATAAAAAAAAAAAGTAGGGTTGGAGAGATGGCTCAGTGGTTAAGAACACTGGCTGTTCTTGCAGAAGACCCAGGTTCAAATCCCAGCACCCACATGGCAGCTAACAACTGTCTATAACTCCAATTCCAGGGGCTTTGACAGCCTCTTCTGTCTTCCATAGGCATTGCACAACACAGGCATGCAGGCAATACATGCATGTATATATATATATAAAAATTTTTTTTTAAAGTGAAAAGGAAAGCCAGGAGCACTAGCTGTGAGACCCTGACTCGTCTAACTGCTTCTTTCTGCTTCTGTAATTTGCTTGGCTTAAGACGGCACTAACTCCATTTTGACTAGCTATTTCAGGCATGTTGTAAACTTCAGCTACCACCCCCATCCTGGAAAGCTATAGATCAAGCAAGCCCAGGCATATAGCAGCCTTATAAGGTAAAAACAGAAACTTCTGGCCCCATAGATAACAGCACATTCCAATGCCCTAAAGACAGCCCCTACCAATAAGAATCTTCCCCATACTCAGGGCATAGGACCATCTAATCATTTTAAAGGATGTTTGGTGTGCGCGGGCTTCTGTGAAGCTTCCATATAAAAATGTACCCCACCCTAGTTCAGGGCTCTCAGTATGGATCCCTGCATTGGTGAAATCTGAGGGCCTGAGATTAAGCCCGAATAAAGGCTCTTTGCTGTTGCACACACTCCAGACTCCTTGGTGGTCATTGGGGGTCGTGAGATCTGGGAGTAACACTAGCTCATTTCTGTAATCTCAGCACTTTGGAAGATGAGGCAGGAAGATTAGGAGTTCAAGTCTGACCTTAGCTACATAGTGAGTTCAAGGCTAGCCAGAGCTACATGAGACCCTGTCTCAAATCAAAATAAAAAAAAAACGATAACAACAAGCCAACAAAATGAAAAAATGAGTGGTCCTGTAGGGCCAACCATTCATGGCCTTGTGAAGCATGGTAAACTCCGTGTTTCTTTACTCCAGAGACAAATGGTAAATGACTTAAAGGTAGGGGACAGGCTTAGCCAGTGCAACATATGCCAAATGTGGTAAATGAAGGGTGAATCCACCTGAGTCAGAAATAACCTACATCAAATTTTTATCCCACAATGTGAATATTTTATTTCACAACATTTCAAATATCATTAGATAAGTGCTCTACCACTGAATTACACCCATAGCCCTACCTGCTCTAGTTTTTTAAAATCCAAGTTTGGGCTGGAGAGATGGCCCAGTGGTTAAGAGCACTGGCTGTTCTTTCAGAGGACCCAGGTTGGGTTCCCAGCACGCACAAGGCAGTTAATACCCATACATAATGCCAATTCCAGGGGATCCAGATTCAACATCCTCTTGTGGTCTCTAAAGGCATTGCAGGACACAGGTGCACTTACATACACGCAGGTAAAACATTCATACACATTAGGGGTCTGGGTGATGGCTCAACAGTTAAGAGTGCTTACTCTTCTTTGTTATATGCTGGATTCCGAATAAAAATCACCAACACTACTTAATTGAAAGCAGCAAGATAAAGTTTAATTATGGTCGACCGGGCTGCTTCAGAAATAGAAGCAGCAGCGAACACCAGTTAGCCAGAATATTTATAGGATTACAGAAAGCAAGGTTCAACAGAGTATCAGCGGGCTAATCAGGTTTACAGAAGCGAGATAAGCAGTTAGTCAAGTGCAGGCCTAGATTAGAACACCCTGTGGTATGCGGGCAGGCCATTTCTCAGAATTTAAAGTTGTTTCTCCCTTCTAGGTATCTTTCATAAGTAGGGTAAAAGGCACTTCTGAAATGGCTGCTTTGGGCAAAATGGAGTAACTTAGGGTAGGTTAATTAGCTGAGATAGTTCATTCTTCCAGAGGGCCCAAGTTCAGTTTCTAGCACTCATGATGGGCTGCTGTAAACTGCCTATAACTCCAGCTCCAGGGAATCCAATGCCCTCTTCTGGGGGTAACTGCAAACACACATCATGTAATTAAAACTAATAAAACCAAATCTTTTAAAATTCCATAATAAGGCCAGATGTTGTGGCGCTTGCCTTTAAACATATAGCACTTGGGAGGCAGAGGCAGGCAGAACTCTGTGAGTTCCAGGCCACCAGAGCAACATAGTGAGACCCTGTCTTAAAAAACAAACAGCCAAGCGTGGTCAACAAACAAACAAACAGCTGGGCGTGGTGGCGCACACCTTTAATCCCAGCACTCGGCAGGCGGATGTTTGTGAGTTCGAGGCCAGCCTGGTTTACATAGTGAGTTACAGGACAGCTGGGGCTACAAGGAGACCCTGTCTCAAAAAGACAAAAACACACACACAAAAAAAAAAAACCCAAAAAAATCCATAATAAGGGGTTAGGAATGGAGCTCAGTTGGTAGAGTGCTTGTTTGGCATGCCCAAAGCCTAGGGTTTGAGCTCCAGCACCACAAAAACCCAGGAGTGTTCATGAGTGCCAGTGTGCATGTGTGCCACAGCATGTGTGTAGAAGTCAGAGGATAACTTTAAGGAGTTAGTTCTTTCCTTCTACGATAGGTTCCAGGGACTGAAATAGGTCATTGGGCTAACATGGCAAGCTCTTTTATCTGCTGAGCCATCTTTCCATCCTTAATTCAGTTTTTTTTTTTTTAATATTTATTTTTATGTAATGTGAATGGATGTATTGCTTGTATGTAGGTAGGTGCTCCTGTGTCCTGCAATGCCTGTGGAGGTCAGAAGGCATTGGATCCCTGGAACTGGAGTTACAGACAGTTGTTAGCTGCCATGTGGGTGCTGGGAATCAAACCTAGGTCCTCTGCAAGAGCAGTTAGTGCTCTTAACCACTGAGCCATCTCTCCAGCCTCTTAATTTAGTTTTATTGACTGCAGTCACCATGCTGTACATTGGTCCTCTAAAATTTAGTCATTGTTTGATGAAAGCTTGCAGTCTTTGACCCACATCACCCCTGTTCCCTCTCCTTAGCTCCTGGTATCCATCATTCTATTCTGTTTCTATGAGTGTGACTTCTTTAGATTCCACATAAAAGTGACATCATGACGTGTTTGTCTTTCTGAGTCTGGTTTACTTCACTTATCCTAATGGCCTCCAGGTTCATCCATGTCCCAAACAACAGGATTTCTTTTTTCTTTGTCTTTGTTTCAGTGCCGGGAATTGAAACTGGGTCTCATTTATGCCAGTCCTTGGCCCCTTTACACTTTATTTTGGGACAGAGTCTCTATAAGTTGTCTAGGTTGGCCTGGAACTCAGCATCCTCCTGCCACAGGCTCCTGTGTGCCACCACATCTGGTGAGAAGAGATAGATTTCTACTTGCATATCAATTTGGCTGCTGGGCAAAGGCAGAACTGCTGTGTGAACATGACACTTTCCTGGGTTCTCCTGCACGCTGAGAATCTAGAGATGAGGCACAGGCCCTGGAGAAACTGTCCATTATAGCAGTCCCTGAGGCCTAGCAAGCATATGGCCTCCAGCTTCAGGGTGGCCTGGTCTGAGGTGTTGGCTCATCTGTGATGTGTATCATCAGGGAAAGGAACACAGATCTGGAAGAAGACGGGCGCAATCTATGAAGGGGACTGGAAGTTTGGGAAGCAAGATGGCTATGGCACCCTCAGCCTTCCTGATCCAAAGACGGGCAAGTATAAGAGACTCTACTCAGGCTGGTGGAAAGGTGGTAAGAAATCGGTGAGTAGTTTCCAGTATGCCCTGTTTGTGGGTAAGACTGACAGGCTCTGTGTGTGTGTGTGTGTGTGTGTGTGTGTGTGTGTGTGTGT